TCCTGTCACTCTTGTTTTCTAAGAACTATTTAATAATCTCCAATGCAGGTAAAGCAGATGCACCATCGGATTGGGAGCGTTCACGTGACAATTACTGGAAGAAAGGCACCATTGCGTGAGTCACACTGCTCCTAGTTATGTTTACCCACAATGACTTCGTAGTAAAACGAAAGGGCAGTGAAAAATGTGATGACAATCAACATTGGCTATCGCATTTCCACAGCTGTCATTCGTACTTCTATGAAAATAGTTTTACCTCTGTTTCTATATTTTTGATCCTTTCGTTTAAGTTTCGACTTCGAGGGACGCAGTCGAAAGCGTTGTGAGCTGATGGAGATGTTGCAGGATGAGATGCTGGAGGCCGCGAAAAAGAGGGGAACACGATAAATTGATAATTTGTAGTCTTGTTTTCCAGATTTTTGAGTCATGGTCGCTTCCGCCGTAAAATTTTTACAATTTGTGGTTAAAAAACTGGTATAAAAACTGTCTGAGTGCGAATAAGTTACACTGACCATCATGCTCAGTTAGATGATGATAATGTGTCTGTTTGATATAATACCTATCTTTTCAAATTCTCCCTATATACCTTTACTTTTTCACCAATGAGTTGTCCTCATGCCACGCAAAATGTTCTGTCAAGTATCGACAGTTACAGTGATTGATATCTGTGCTGAGTAGAGAGAAATCGTCATATGACGATCGTATCACGAATAGTCATGCCTTCGGTTAGGAACAATAAAAACATTCGAGATGACGAGTGTATGATTCACGATTTCGTTGAGAATAGTTGTATTGTTAGCATAATAGAACTTGAATATAGAAATATCAGTAGTATATTGTTTGTCTCGCATCGATCGATGTATGAGAAAAGAAGAGCGTTGTGAATTTCCCAAAGGGAAGGTAGTTATCTTATCATCATAATTTTTTGAACAGGGTCTTTTGGAGTTCGACTGCTTGACAATTTGCATTTGAAATGTCCGTTTTCGTGGAAAATCATGAAGTCCCATTGCATAGCAAATCTGACCGACTTTCCTCTAATTGAACGAGTTTTTTCTGTCAAATACGAGGTTTACCTTGCTAATCGGGGTTATCACCGTGTGAAACCAGCGGCTGTTCTATACTAAAAGAAGCTTTGATACTTCATGACAAGTTTAGCAAGTAGCTGTTTAGCCAAACAGAAATACTGAGCCATTCCCAACTTAACTGATCCTGTCACGAAAGTGAACTTTACCTCACCGAAATGTGCAATAAGATTTAGCTCATTGTTTTCGCAGATTTAGTGAGGCAAATCATTAGGGAGAAAGGTCATGATTCGACCTCTCACTAACAAATTCTTGCAATTACTCAACAAATTCCCTTCGTACAACTTCATAAAAAACAGGCGAAATCCTTGAGCAGCAGTTGAAACAACGCGTGAATTGTTTGAAGGCCTGTGTGGATGATGTGTGCAAGCAAACGAACTTAGTGCTAGAAGTGTTGGTGTCCGCAAATTAAAATGTGATGACGGGTCGTGTAGAATAGTGAGAGATAAATTCGCAAATGTGCTAAAGTCTTGGGGTGCCATGGCCGGGTGGTTGTGGTGCTCGTCGAGACGCCACTGGTACCGAGCTGCACTCCCACCCCCCCCCCCCCTCCCCAACTCTCTCCGGCGGTCAACAACAACGCCTTATAGAACACCACATCTAGGCTATGCACAAGATTGCAAGGAGACTCGCTCAACCAGTATTCTACGACTTTCAAGAAGAAGGCGAAAAAACGAATTGAATGCGTGAAGTACTGGGAGCCGCAGGGTGAAAAAACACTGTTAAGACGGATTAATAAATCAAAGTAAGCTTAAGTGTTTTATCTTTAGAGACCTCAAAGTCGTTCTTTGTATTTTCATGTCTATGCACATTTCAACATGTAAGATGGGCAACATATCACTTGTGATATCTCAAGAAGATATGATAACTTATAGACCTATATAAAAGGTGGAGAGCATTTACTCTCTGTATTTCAATTGACAATTCTGTTTGCGTCATATGGTTGGTATTTGCTAAATATTCATATTTTAAAAGCTAATACGTTTTTCACCACCCTAATTGGCTTCCCAATCATAAGCAAGGTTTTTCTGGGTATTAAATTATCGTTGCTGTGAGAGAAACATTTCTTCGATTCACATGGGAGGGAAAATTCACATGTGATGGGAACGCATTGAGTCAGCTACTACGGAACCATCGGTAAAAATAGAAATGAGCATCAATGATATAAGATTCAAACTTAAACTCTTACCATTCTTGAAACGGGTAATCTCTGTATGTGGGTAGATTCCATATCCCACAGGATTCATCAGAGTTCAACTGATTATGGCCATGGAGGAGGTCGAAACAAAGGACTTTTCTTTCTACTTATCGAGCGGTGGTAACTCTGGACATGATTGCTTGCCATTCAATAGGAACTTTCTGAATTGCCATATATTCATCCATTTCTAGGCACTGTCAATCGTCCGTGTTGCTAGTTCCCTCAAATCAGCTCAAATCACGTCAATGCCTGCGAGGTATGCATCTGCAACCAGACCAGGAATGTCTAAAGTGCAGCTACAAAAGCCTAAAGGAGAATCTGTAAGTTCGAATGACATCCGTCATACTTTTGCGGGTTTCATGAGTAAATGTGCTGCTTCTAGCACATTCCAAGAGTTTCTCTTAAACAAGTATACATCGGTCAGAGCTATTTGACATGGAAGAAATCTTTTTATAACGAATTGACTTTTCTCTATTCGGAGAAATTGTAATTATTTCCTAAAGATAACTATTTTGAAACCATAAAAGTCTAATTAGACAATTACTATTTGATACGATTGCACGGTTTTTGCACACTTCTCCAGATATCAATCTGAGTTCGAAGTATTTCTTCATATGTGTTCTTCTGTGGCTGAGCCTTTTATTTGAATGACAATGAATACCTCAATTTGAAATTATCTTAAGTCTTTTCTGCTTCTTGCAGGGCTTCTTCAGTTATGAACGAAATATATCCCGCGATCCTAAAGCGAAAGGACCCAGACCACTGCTTGGAGATACTCTCAAACGGTAGACTTTGTACTCATCATATTTATCACCTTCGAACTTTCTAAAGCTTCATTTCCACTTCTCCACAAAAGGCTAACATTCTCGTGGCGAACAAAAACCTGTATGTTTATAATGGTGTCGCAGGAGTGGCCACCTTAACACCTAGAAGTTTCGTTTTCCGTCCAGTGAATTATTTTGGTGCCCAAAAGTTTCTTTCTGAACTTTTTGTGATCGAATGGCAGCTTTTCCATCGTAGACGCGTGTCAATCGTCGGAGGATCTTCTTAATAATCCGCACTTTAATCCTCTTTTTTGGTGGGATATATTGCTTGTGAATACAGCGCGATTTAAACAATGTAATCATAAAGAATAGCTGTAATGCCTATGCGCTATAGATGTGGCATTGCACGTTGAGTCTGTCATCATTTTCAAATAAACAGTACTTGGCTTTTAATACAAACCAGAACGGTCACTTTTGAATATGATAGGAATGAGTGGACATGAAAGTTATCAGGTTGGCGCAAAAGTAATGCCGGTTTCACACCGTGAATTTTGAATCGTTATAACTAGTCTCTATATTTTTGTTGGAAAAAAAGGATCACTACAATCAACACATTCATCCTACGAAAAATAATTCTGATTATTTCTGTGACACAAATTTGGTGCTCCGCGATTCTTCGAGCTCCACGAAACTTTTTCCTGCGTCCTGTTGGGTGCGCAGGAATTCTGAAGGGAAGAAGTTGCCGAGGTGCCTGAAGAAGTGTTAGTCGGTGAGCACGACATCCGGCGAATTTGGAAAATAAGGCAAACCTTGTTGTTCAATTTGTTAATTTTTTGAAACGTTCAATGTGCGACGTGCGGCCGTGCTTTGTCATGAAGAAGAATTGGGCCCTTTCTGTTGAGCAATGCCTGCTGCAGGCGTAACAGTTTTCGGTGCATCTTATGGAATTAATGAGCATAGTTCTCAGATGTCATGATTCGCTGCGCTCGGAAAGCTCCACTGTATCCGACCGACAGGAAAGCACCATAAAGTGACCATGACTTTTTTGGTGAAATTTTGGCCTTGAGAACTGCCAAATACCCAATACGTGGAGTGCTGTGCAAAAACGTTTGTGTCAGCCGAGATTCGAACCCAAATCTCAAATCATCTCGAGGGTGACCTGCGTGTTATTTATAAATTTCATAGCGCTGACAGCGAAAAACTAGGTGTCGTCCAGTACGCAATAAAGCGGAAATTAAGTTTCATCGGAAGAGTATGAAGAGAATCGAACTGCGTCAACTTGACTATATTCTGCCGATGTGAAATGCATAGTGTGAGCATGTGGCAGTAATTAGAGGTGCTATGAGATACAATACGTGGTCACTGGATAGTTCTTCCTGTCCGAGCTCACTGAGACTGTCATTCCTCCTCGCTGGATAAGTTGAAATCAAATTTGTTTGAGGGCGTGACAGTAATGACTTGATACGTCAGTGGGCCATGGCAAATTATCGAATGACCAGATATGCGTACAATTACCTCTAATGATCTATATCTTTCATTTCGAGTGTTTTCTTAAGACCACAGCTCAAATTTCAATATGCCTGATAATCATTATTTGAACCACGCATGTCAGTGGTCTGTCGGGCAGTTGCCCTTTCTCGTCTTTTGCTAATCTCTGTGGGTGCTCCAGTCCCCACAATAAGAGTTAGCGACGAAGTACGTTTTACACTCTATGTCCAGTGAAGAACTCACCAAACACAGAGTGTGTACACTCGAATGCTCGTGGCTAGTATATTCAATATATCAAAACATTCGTTTCGAGTGTTTTCTTAAGACCACGCAAGGCATATTGAATTTTGAGCTGTGGTCTAAAGAAAACACTCGAGACGAATGTTACGAAATAGCATACTCGACCAAAGCTTTGAAAGGTTGGTGGCTGACAGCTATCATAGAGGAATGAGTGGGGAGGGCCAATGTACCTCGGTGGTGTAGTGGTAGCACGAGTCCCCGGCATAGATGAAACGCGGGTTCCACTCCCGCCAAAGGTCGGGTTTTTGCTCACCACTCAGTTCTCCAAGTCATATATCTCTGTGGGTGCTCCAGTCCCCACAGTGTATCGGGCTCTATAAGTCAGCCCTCACTGACAGACCACTGACATGCGTGGCTCAAATAATGATTATCAGGCATACCTCTAATGATGTTTGATGAGGTCAAATTTCCCAGCAATTCTTCAGTGATTGACTGTTGTTCCAGCAGAAATGTACTGTATAGACTTTATGGGATACACATGCTCAGAGCAATTGTCAGATCCAAAATTTTATCATTTCTAGACAAAGTTCTTGAAATAACAGTATATGTCCATGCAGAACTTTGTAATGTTTACAAAGAACAGATGTTTCAAATCTCGAGATACTGGATTGCAACTATTCATGACAGCAATAGCAACACAATGATAACACTGTGACGATGTCCACAAAAGTAAAGATTACAAGAGCGAAAGCGAAAATATAAAAATTATGAGCGGTGCAACCAGCCTTGGTTACAAGGGATGGCACTAATCTCATTTGAATTGGGCGATTAAGATCGGGGAGTAGATCCTTTAGGCAATGTTACCGTGCCATGCAACGTTTCCACTAGTTATGCTGAGATTGAGAAAAGGGGCAAACACGCAGGTATTGTGTCAATTGATTTGAAGTATAGATTACAAGGCAACAGATCATAGTAAAGTAGCCTCAACCATTGCGCGGCAATGATCAGTTTTCGCAAGCGGAGCGCGATTTTAGGTATTTTAAAGAGTTTTCTTTTCGTTTCAGAAAAAACTTTAGGTGTTAGGTTTTTTTTAAGTTTGCTCTGCTACTGCATAAATTTCTTTAAACGTTCATATTCTTTTGTGCATACACAACTTTCTGAAGCGAATAAAACTTCAATCGTGGGATATAAGCTTTTCTTCGTTTTTGTGGCGCATTATTATGAAGGTACCAATAACCAAACTCAGCCTCCAAATTGTTGAAGTTTATGCTACCGTATAGTGCTAACATAGTCTATAAATCCATTCACAGACTTCAGCCGAGCAACAAAGCAAACTGCGTGTGAAACATAATTGTGTTTCTCACTACTACAGCACAACAAAAAAGCTTTTGCAAAAACCAAGACACTTTCGAATTTGTTAAAGCCTAAGCTTTGAAGAATAATCGAAATTTCAAATGCAGTTAGCTTCGCTCAGCGAAAAAAAAAGTACTTTTTAAAAATGGAAAGTCAAAATGACTCTCACCATCTCCAAAGGGGTGAGGAAAGCGCACGTGGAAGCGATACAAATGTGTATGAAGGAAGTACATGTGAAAGCAATTTAGTCGCTTTCATATGAAGTTTATGTAAGCCTGATATGGAGCTGATACAGATCATTTTAGAATATTGTCTATGATCAAGTAGAAAACTTTTTCTTTCTCTAACCTTCATGAAATCCACGTCGTTTCGAACTAAATCACAATTATGTAGCTCTTAGGAGATTACTCTTCTCAAGCGATGCTAGGATGGAAATGATTATTATTGCTGTCGTTTCACGGCTGGCATTTCGACGATCTCACCTTTAGACGACAAATGTTATGAATCAAATTCCGTATACTATGGTAGATTAACAATGACACATACCTGCCCTCAGGAAGATCTAACGGACAAAAGACGCTAGATCTCGCGTGATTGTAGCGTATTCGTCCTCACGAATCATTTTGATTTTTGGCGTTTATACAGAGCGCTTCAAGAGTCGTGCGAATTGATGTTTATTAACTCTCACAGTAGGGTCACGACAGTCGCCTAAGAATTATTACCACTGTGCTTTCGTGACCCATGTATAGTGTTTTGTTGAGTTTCAAATTTGCCGCCTTTCATTTTAACAAAAAAAAAAGTCTATCTGCTTCGCCATACACTCTTCCTCGCAGGCCCCACATGATATCAAGCATACTTTTATATTCGAATGTTTTTTTTAGGACTTCGTTAAAAATTAATACATCCTGAGAAATTTTTTCAAAGCCTTTCATGAGGTCTGTTGTGGCACTTGTAAAGTTCTAAACTCGTTTTTCGGCCTCTCAGCCACATCAGTAGCACGGTGTCCTTCGTTTGAGGCAATGCCTTGAAAGGGCCCTCTACAAGTAAAAGAATCGTCAACATACATCTCACCCTGCACATGTGTCAAGTGGAATATCACCCGACTTTGCAAGGTTAACAGTAGATTGCCCATGACTAGTAAATTTGATAATACCTTCATATTCGACTGTTTTTAAGACCTCGCTCAAATTCAACACATTCTGACAACAGTTTTTGAGTCTTCCATAATCTAATCATTGCAATGTTGGGTGATTATTCACTTGACAAATGTTCGGTGTAAGTTGTTCGTCGTTGATTCCATTATAAATAGTGCTTATCACTTTTCTACAAGGGATTGGCTAATACGAAAGGCACTTTGCTACTGTTGAGGCTGATAGGCCGGAACACTTGTCTAGCACTTTATAAGCTCCATAAAGAGGCCTCATGGAAAGTCCAAAATATGCTGCCAGGAGATATTAAGCATAATTTGCATGAATCGTACAATTCCCTTTCTTCCGTTTAGGCAAATTATATAATTTCTGATTGAACACACGATCACAGACGCGACTGATGACGAACTGAGAAGTAAAGTGTCAGGTTGGAGTCAAGAACTGCCACAAAGTTCTCGAGACCTACTTGCCCTTATCTAAACTTGTTGGAGCACATGACAACAGGAACTGGCTTCTGTTTTCAGCATCGAGTTAAAACTTTTAGGGAGTGATAATAGCATAAAATGGTGTCGAAAACTATCCAGTGGAAATATACCAGTGTACTAGCTCTTCCCTCATCCTCTTCATGTGAGAAGAACACTTATCAAAAACATGTACCAAATTGGCTAGAAATGTGCGCACAGGAGAAGGGGGAAAATAGCTGAATTTGGCACGAAAAATAGCCGTTTCAATAGCTACGAAACGCCAGCCACTCGGATTAGTACAAAAGAATTAGAAATAAAAGAAAAAAAGAACCCAAAATAGTATTTTTTACTCAAATAAGCTCAATTCAAATTGGCGTTTAGATCAAATGAAGTCACTAACGCTAACAGGTGCATATTAAGGTGGCCTCGAAAGTTTTTTGGCAGTTCTTGAGCTCCCACCTAATACCTTGCGCCGCTGATTAGCTTGCAACCACCTTTATGATCGTTTAAGCAACTTGGAAAATTGTGTACCCTGCCGTAAAGGGAAGGTAGAGACTGTATAAGTTTAGGCTCAATATCTTCGATGTCAGGTAAAACTCTTGGAGGCAAATATACTGACGAAGGATAGAGCACTTCGTTATCGCATAAAGGAAGATCTAGATGTTAAAGTTAAAAATTGGAAGAGACCTCTAGGTAGACATAGGGAACAAAAGCACAACGGTAGTGATTGAAGTGATAGCCACAATTCTGGCACAAGAGTCAAAACTATAACCGCTCAGTACTCTTGAAGCGTTTTGGATAAGCGCAGAGAGCTCAAAGATGAACCGCAAAGGCGAGTATCTCACTAATACACCTCAGCTGAAGCCTATTCTTCGTTTCATCACTTGATCTGACATGAGGAGGTCAGGTTCTTATCGATTTTCTATCGAATTTTGCGAACAGCATTAGATAGCATACGTCCAAGCTTTGAAGAGGGTGAAGTCGACGCATTGTCACCTGTCGAACAAGAAAAGCAACTAATACCAGTCTCGCATCGTCTAGGCAAGACGTCTTTGGGCAAAGGATAAAGGATAAAGCTCTCGGCGTTGATCAATCCCTAAGAGACACGCCATGCGTTTGTGTTCAATTTTTGACTTCGTTTGAGGTGATTGAAAGCATATCTGGTCTCTAAAATGACTCGCGGCGGCTTTCGCTGTACCGAGTCACTGCTGCCTATCCTCTCAGATAAGTTTGAGATCAGTCTGGTACCAATTTAGCTGTACCCTGAGGAATGGATAGCTTGCTGAACCATGAACGGAGATCGAACCATTGACCCGGTGTGCAACGCAGAGCACCTCTAGCCACTGCGTCAGATGCTCTCCTGGTCAATGGAATTTACATCTATTACTTATGCCAAGGTTATCGATCTCCGGAAATAAATCGCAACTGATTAGTTATCATATGAACAAAGAATAATCTTCATAAAACCACTATATTCTTATGTTTTTAGCGTTCTGTTCCGACGTCTTGGACATGCCTATGAAGTTTATCCGCTTATTTTCCTCGCTGTGTCCTGGACAATCGCCTGTTCTACTACCATTTATATGAGCCTCGGCAAGATAGAACTCTGGATAGATAGAAGTAAGATGTTCTCACTATTTTTGAAAACTTTGTACTAATTACTCATGTAGGTAAGAAACTTGCACCATCGGACTGGGAACGTTCACGTGATACCTATCACAAGATGACTACTATCGCGTGAGTTCTCTACTAATTTTCTTTTAATAATGTAAGAACGGATTTCGTCATTGTTTATTTTATTTTGTGTGCACTTCTCCTGTGAAAACAATCGAAATAACTTGTTTCTGTACAACATCTTGAGCGACTTTGATCTAACTACTTGGCACGTAAAGGGTCTTTTATGTTCATTCGAATGATGCTCCGAAAGCAGAAAAACATGTCCTAGCGTCTTGTTGGATTAAATTGATTAGACCGTACGAGAATTACCTCTGAATATCATCAAGGTATAGCATAAGTAGGCTTACAAATGTATAAGAAGTTAGCTAAAGTTAATTCAAAAGTCTTCGCGTTCACATGACATGAGATGTTAAAAGTCAATGCTGTTCATCTGTGATTGTTTCCGATCACTTAAGGTCGGTAGTCAATATTAACGCTTTAGAAAGTATCGAAGAAGTTGCAGACGATGTAACCTAGACAATTTAGGTATCGGATACGTTTTGATATTGTTGTAAAGGTAAGAGTTTAGTGAATAATTACCACTCGATTCAAACGAAGCGCAGGTCGATCTTTATTCAACAACCTGTTGTGAGCTTTCTTAAGCCATAATGATCTCCA